AGAGCGCATCCAGGTAGCTCCCTGTCCTGCTCTCCCGCTAATCACCACAGGGCAGCAACAGGATCCAGCCCGGAGGAGGAAAGGGGCTACGTGGTGAAGAAGTTGGAGTTAGCGCCGACTGGTTTATTGCTGTACACAAACCACTATCAAATCTCCACACGGCCTGCTGTAATTTAGTCTTTGCAGTTAAATGAGTCGGGGCTATTGCTTCTGGTGCCGCCTGCCACTGCAGAGCCTGGAGGGCAAAGGGAGCAGGTTCCCGGGAGGCCCCGGGCCAGTCCTGCAGGCACTGGGCTGTGGGGCCCATCACCACGGCACCCTGTCTGCAGGCTCCCTGCTGCAGAGCAAACTGCTCAGGTACTGCTGTGCTTCACAGAGGTGTGGGGAGGGTTAAAAGCTAATGAGAGGGAACATCAGTGACCTGCAACCTCCTCACTGCTTTTTTTTTATATATACGTGTAAATATATATATGCATGTATTTGGATCCTGCACTGTGACGGGCAAGGAAAAAGTGTTTCTTTCTGCCACAGACTCTTGCAGTTAAATGCCTAGGCCACATCATCCTGCCCCAGTGGGGATCCAGGGAGGGAGGAAACCCCCTGGCTACATCCAGCAGTTCACCGCGTGCTCACCGGTGTTATATCCCCAGCAAGGGGAGGCTGCTTGGCAGTCCCTGCTCTGCTGGACCAGATCTGAACCACCCGGCGCCCTGAGGAGTGTCCTGCCACTAGGGTGTTTAGGCAAATGCTTTTCCTTGCTCTCTTCACACAGTTCTGTGTTTAATACAAAATCAAGCGGTATAATTAGGAGAGACCAGAGAGTAATTTATCTTCGAGTCCCCAGTAAACTGGTGATTAGGATCTTTGTGCACAAAATGCCCGAATTCAGATGTTTTGCCCAGAAGCAGGCAATATCAGGGAGCTAATGTTAATTCTCCCAGTTCCTTTGTGGAGGCACCTGGCAGCAAACCTCGCAAGTCCGGGTCTTCTGGAGCAGGCTCGGATGTGGCTAAGGAGACTCACTCGGGGCTAGTCTTGGGTCTGTGACCCCAGCGCCCGGCCCGGGCACCCCAGGAGGCTCCCGCTCTGCTCTCTGCGGAGCAGTGGGCAGGTTAGGCTGCTCACAGCTTTGCTGCAGCTCTCGGAGCTGTGATGCACAATGCGAAGCTGGAGAAGGACAGGCTGCTCTCACACATCCTTGACTCTCCTTTGCTGGACTTTGTCCTCTTTAGAAAACAGGATTTGGGCTCCTAATTCACTTAAGCACCACGGAAAATACTTCTGGAGAGAGCAGGGCACTGATCTGTGCTCCGAATTGCAAATTGTGGGAGAGTCTCTGAAAATACCAGAAATTCAGAGCCGACAATAAATCCGCGGTTTAACCAAAGGTTCGTGCAGCAGGTTTTTCCAGTACACTTCTTTGCAGCTAGAGCTGATGGAGATCCTTTCGTTACTTTTAAACTGCAAAAACACTGACTGCTTCCCTTTCTGCCCAGGCCTGAAATCCGCCTGTCCTAATGCAGCGGCGTTTCCGAGCCGGGTGCTCGGGATTTTTAAAGCTTGCAAAGAGTTGGCTACAGGCAATACTGCATTCAGAGGCTGGTTTCACGTTCGCATAACACAGTCGCCAGCCACATGCTACAGTCGGGCTCTTTTGTGCGAATAAAGAGTAGAAAAATGGCTTCCTTCCTCGTGCGCCTCCACGACGGGTTTGCTCGTTGCTCTGCTCTGCGCTGGCTACCGTGCAATTTAATTCCCCCCCGTGGAAGCGACCGCAGCCTCAGGCTTTCCCATGGCCGGGGAGCAGCCCCAGTGAGTCTGAGTGTGCCCGGGGTGGCTGGGACACGGATGTGCTGGGGGCCCCTCTGTTTTCTCTCCTGTGTCTGCTGGGGCTTTCTCGGAGTGTGCGGAGACACGCGGAGGGGGGGATCGGAGGGCCCGGGGGGGCGGCGGGGGAGACGGGAGTTATTAGGAAACTTTGCTTTGGCTACTCTCTATCCTTGGGGCTGCGTGGCGCCAGCACCCTCAAGTTGAAAGGAAAACAGCCATTCTCACTTCCAACTGCCCACTGAGATCCTTAAGGCGACAAAGACACAAAAGTGAGTTTTATTTGCTGGTAAGCCAGAGGCAAGAAAAAAGAAAAGCCAATTCCCCCTTAAAAAGAGCCGACAAATCCTTTTTGCTCTTTTGTGTGAGCCTTTCCTATTCACATGGAGCGTTCATCCGTGTGATTCCCAACTTATTGTCATTACTTAGTTATTAATTGTTCTCATCTGGGTTTAATTGAGCAACCAAGGACTTTAGCCCAAGGGTCAGGGGGAAAACTTAAAGCAAAGACATGTTCAATAGGAATCCTGTGCGTCCAATATACATCCCGAGTTGACAAAATGTAAAAAAAAAAAAAGTAAAAAATAAAATAAAATAAAATAAAATAAAATAAAATAAAATAAAAACATGCGAAGCGGAAAGATGAAAGTGCACAGACTGTTCGGAGCCTCCGCGCTGCCGCACCGGAGCACCCAAAGGTGCGGACGGAAGCGAGATGCGCTTGCAGGAAACTAGTTCAAGGCGGGTTTTGCTGTTTAAAAATGTCTCTCAACAGGTTAAGGGTTTCTTTACGGGATAAACCTGGCCTCCTGCGCGGTTAGATCCCCCCTCTAGCCCCCGGTCTGGCCGCTCAGGAGGCTAAGGTTTTATCTACAGCCTCTTCTGCCAGACACAACGTGGGAAACAGCCGCGGTCTGCCGGTCCGTCGGGCGATGGGCGCTGGGGTCAGGAGCGCAGACACTGTCGTTTGCACAGAGAAAAGAAATGATGGGAAAAGAAAGACAGCAGAAAAAAAATCCCACCGAAAAAAAAAATCCCCACCCCAGCCCAATAAAGACTGGGAGGCCAAAAAGGAGAGAGAGATGAGAATAGAAGGATTAGAGAAGGGAGCGCTGGAAAAAAAAGTGGCTGGGTTCAGGTATGTTGTTTCGCTGAGTTATTGAAAGCATCATTGATATTTAGGAGATGATAAAAGTCCCGCCTCGCCCCCAGCTACAGTCTCGCTGGAGCCACAGTGCCTGCAGAAGATTGCCTAGCCTCATTACAGCAATTATTTTCCTTCTAACTTTGCTTCAACCTTAACGTTTTAAATTGCTGGAAATGAAAGCAGCGAAGAAAAGCGGGAAGAAAGAAAGTAAAGGGGGAAAAAAGCACCAACTTCTCAGTCCCCGATGTTTGAAGGTAAAGTACGCGGGAAATAAATAAATAAAGACCCCCCTTCTCCCCCCCCCCAAAAAAAAAGAAGCAAAAAGCAGCTGCTGCTGCCTAGAGTTCTTGCTAGCAGCAAAGCCCAGCACAAACCCATCACCCCTGCAGGAGCAGCAGGAACACGTTGCTCCATGAGGGATGACGGCCAAGAAGTAGCAATCCAAAGCAAGGTCCCTTTCGTCTGCTTCGTTCTTCCTGCCATAACTTTCACTTGAACATTCAACAAACTCTGGGATCTGAATGGATCACCTCAAATTATGGTCTAATCCTAAAATCAGTTTCATCTTATCTCCTCTGGATTTGGTTTTCGACATTTGGTTTCAGATATTCAGTCTCTTCTTCAAAACTGAATTGTGTCTCCTGAGCTGGTCTGCTCCATTTAGGTGAGGTTCAAATTATGGATGTTTTCTAGGTAAAAATCAAATAGTTGCATTTAGGAAAGACTGTTCCATTGGATCCTATTTAGTGTCTGATTTCTTTCTTCTTGTTTTTAGTTATTTTTTCCCTCTGCTTACAGTGACAGCCTCTTGAGCTTTTTTCAGCATTACTTTCTAAAGATTCACACCCCCTGGTCTCACAATTTGTCAAGGATTTTTCCTTTGCTTTCTAGGATTTTATGTTTTCACATCTTTTCAGGAATTCCCAACTGTTTTCTAGGTACCAGGAGCAGCCAGGACAGTCACGCTGCACTGACAAAACGTCCAGTCCCCTTCTCCCTGGCACTCCGTTTCCCCCGAGGTTTGGTTTCTTGTGTCATCCCCGGCAGGGCAAGGAATGAACCAATCGCATCAAACAAGAGTAGCTTAAAATTAATTTATTTAACAAATATAGCTATAATATAAATGATAATAAAATTTCAAATATACAGTATATTACACAGTACACAAAGCCCCTTCCAAAGGGACTGATGCAGGAATTAACCCAGGTAACAGCCCATGCTGCTACGCCAGGATAGGAGAGGCTGCCTTAGAGAAGGGGCGAGCAGAGTCCTGTCTTTCCACCTCCATTTGCAATTGCTCTTCTAGCTCTTCCTGACAGCTGGGGGCAGTGGGATGCAGAGAGGGGAGCCGGCACAGTGCCTGGGGCTTCTCCTGATTCCCAATGCTGCCATCAGGAGTGGAGCGGGGCCGGACGGTGGGGCCGGGCGCCGGAGTCTCTGCTGCGGGGAGGGAGCGCGGCATAGAGGGACCAGAGGCACCTCTATGTGAGGTGGTACATGCTGTATCCCACATGCGCCGTGTACAGTCCCACGGGGGCCACGGGCAGCCCTGCCCGCTGGAAGGGGCCGGAGGCTCCGTAGAGCGAGGCGCCCGCCACGGCGGCCGGGCCGCCCAGCGGGAAGGAGATGCCGAAGGCGGCGGGGGGCAGCATGGGCTTGGCTGCCATCTTGAGCTTCTCCAGCTCGGCCTCCTGGAGCCGCTTGGCCTTGGCGCGGCGGTTCTGGAACCAGATCTTCACCTGCGTCTCGGTGAGGCTGAGCGAGCTGGAGAACTCGGCGCGCTCGGCGATGGACAGGTACTGCTTCTGGCGGAACTTCCTCTCGAGCGCCAGCAGCTGCGCCGTCGTGAAGGGCGTCCGGGGCTTCCTGTTGGTCTTGTGCTTGCGCAGGGTGCAGGCTGGGGGGCTCAGGCGCCCTGCGGGGAGGGGGACAGAAAGGCAGCTCCGTTAGCAGCGCCCGGAACCATCCCCGAAGTAACTGGTGGCCCCGGTGGGAAATAAAGTCCTGCTTGGAGCAAAACGTCCCCAGAACTCGCCAGTTTGGGGGGATCGCGGCAGAGCCGGGGGCGGGGTTCACTAAAAAAACCCTCGAATGTCCCGAGCTGAAGGCCCCGGCAGCCCGAGCGCCTCTTCCCACCTGCGCGATCGGACAGGCTGCGCTTCCTATGGGATTAAGGGAAAAATACACGGAACAGGCGCGTTTCTCAGGCTCGCACCCTCTTCATGGGGCCCCTGGGAACCGCATTAAGCACGTAATTAATTAGGAGTTCGGAATTCACACTCTACCTCTTGCTCCTCCGCTTCCTCCTCTCTTATTTAACATTTCTAAGGGTCCTCGACCTCAGCACGTTCGCGGTTTATTTAGTAAAAACAACGTTGACTTTGCGATCTAAATAAGAGAAGCCGCCGCGGTTTGTTCCGCGGGGCGCCCGGGACGTTTCCTTTCAAGCGGGGGGAAAAGCGGCTCCTCCGATGCGCGGAGCTGCGCGCAGGCACGGGGAGCACGACCCGCACTTTATCACCCCCCGCCCGCCTCCACCCGCCCGCTATTTTTCCTGCTGGACATCTCGGCAGTAAAGCAGGAAAATAATAATAATAAAAAAAAAAATCGGGAATTGCAGCTCTCCGGGCTTTCGAAACGCTCGAGACAGCGGTTTCCAGCGCCGAAGCCCGCCCGTCCGGGAGCCCGAGATATGCGCGTCCTTGCAAAACAATTCCAGACAATTTCAGGGGGGAAAAATCGACAACAACAACAAAAATTAAAACCACTTCTGAGGTTAAGAGGTCAAGTGACGCTCGCGGACTTTGCATGGTTTTCAGCCCCAGAGTTAAGCTAACGAGCAGGCAAGGCCTGTTTCGGTGGTGCTGGTGTTTTGTTTTTACTTTTCCTCTCCCCGGTTAACGTTTGACACGAGAGGCGGCCCTGGCCGGGGCCGCTCTGCCCCGCGCCCGAGCAACGCTCAGCGCCCGTTTGAAGCGTTTCCATATCTCGACATCGCCTCGGTGTCGCGGCGAGGAGAGGGAACGGCAGGAAGGGGGTAGAGGAAG